TTTTGAAAGTAAATACCTTGTACTGTTATTGATAAACATATTGCACTTTAAATCATAAGAACATATTGCACGCCCAAGGTCCATTTTGTAGATATGGCTCATCAGGTGATTATGTTACAAACTAAGTTTGTAGAAATACCAAATGTAAGGATAAGTAGGTGAAATCTCTTTTGTTTTATTCCCCCCTAGCCTTAATAATACATAAAAAGTTTTCGTTTTAGAATCTTGATATATCAAAAGTGGCGCATGGGATCACTTGTGATCATTGGTTTGTAGGCTAAAAGAGGAATCTTAACAGCTTTGTTTATTTGTAAACGATTAAAATCTTTGATACATAAAAAGTTTCGATTTTTCACAATTTGAATTCGATGGGGAACGAAATCAAAAACCGAGACCGTTCTTTTGGCTCGTTCTGCAGCTATGGCGTCCAACACGTGCAAGGTTTTTAATTTCGACGTGAGTTCGTCCATATCTTTAGGTGCACGCCACAGGTACTGAAGGTAGCTTTCCACCATCCACGCTTTGAAACTCATGGCTCTAGTGACAACAAGAAATTTGTTAGTGACAGGCTCAAACGATTCACCTTCGTTTCACCCTTTACACCCTAACATCAGGATGCATATTCTCCATACTGCCCTGCGCAGGTGTCAGATTGTGACAGATACTTGTAAAAATAATGTTTCAAAGTTTGTTTCGAAGCCTTTTAAATCACCTTTATCGTTACGGAAATGAAAATGTTTCGCTGAGGCATCTCTCTTTAATTTGCATCACCTCTATTTTAAATACCATTTCCTCACTCAAAAATTGTTCAGTTTATGGAAGATCTTGCCGTATTTACAGCCCTAAATCATTCGGGTTCTTTCGGAAAGAATTTCGTCAAGTTTAAAAACAATAAATATGTTATTTACCGGCTAAGGGTCGGTCCATATGGTGAAAAACTGTGACCTCGGTCTTGAAAATGCTGCCCTCGGCCTACGGCCTCGGGCAGTATTTTCAAGACCTCGGTCACAGTTTTTCACCATACGGACCTCCCAGCCGGCAAATAACATATATATATGACACGGGGATAATTTGCATTATAAACTCAGTTGATAGAACCTAGTTATCTTGTCATTAATAACAGTCTGTTTTAACAAGAGTACAAGACCGCAAATTAGGTTTTCGCGCACGATGAGAAGTATCGTGCTACACTTATTGGAACAGTATATTAAATTTTCTGTAACACTGTATATTTTATTCTTAGTCAGGCCAATGGCTTCCCTTGCATTTTATGACCATTTTCTCCAAGTTTCTGAGCACTTTCTAGAAAGATCGCTTATGTTAGCGGAAAGATACTGAGTCAAAATGTTAAGTTTGTGATGATATCGTTAATGATTTCGGCATGTACTAAGACCCGAAACAGCAAAACGAAAGGACCAAAACGAAACAAGCGAAACGACCAAAACAAAACGACCTTTATGACCAAAACAAAACCATTACAACGATCGAGCGGAGTGGAGGATGCAATGTCATATAAAATGTAAATTTCACTTCAGATATTCTCTCACATTTAAGGCCTTTAGATATTAATTAAGGCCGTCTCACGAAACTTTATTTTCAGCCACCGCGCGAGCAGCTGAAACTATAATTTGACGCTTTTTCAGGGTTTTTATTAACGTCAATAATTTTCATGATATTATTTCTTCATCGTGGTTGTCAAGAAAAATGAGAGTAATTTTGACGAAATTTCCCCACGGTTAACTCCGGAGGAAAATGCGACACACTGAGTTGTTCTAAAAATTCATATTTCCATAAATTTTTCAATTTGAAAGACATAAAACCGATCATAACACTTTAATTATCTCCAGGGAAAATAGAACGACATGGTGTAATTCTAAAACTTCTTACATGTTCCGCTGAAAGTGTTTTGACCAAATAATTTGCAGGTTTATTTAAGAGTTAGACTTGCCGTAAAAGTTTTTCAAAACAATCTACTGGATTTTCATAGAAGGATTTCATTGACTGTCATATCCAGTGGTACTAGGATGAGTCCAGTCATTTAGATTTAAACACAGAAGCTATGATCTGGTGTCTGACAACAATTAGAACAGCTGGACAGGAAGAATGACTGTGGCCTATAAGACAGCGGTTTTGTTTTGTAACCATAGTTACAGAAGCTCAAACAGTTCTATAAATTAAAGGAAAGCACGAAACCACGAAGTTTTTACTTTTGATACACCCAGGAACAAAACCAAGTGCGAAAAACACTTTATCACTCAGAAGGTAAGAAATATCTCTCTGAGCTACTTATCTATATATCTTAGACTAAGTCTATCTTGGTCTGACCAATTGCGCTGATTGTAGAAATGATCGAGGAAAGTTTTGTGTAAAATTTTGTCAATTCGGTCACACGATCTTTCGCATTCTGTCACATTCTTCTGGTCAAAGTTGTTACAAATTTGAAATTTTTTAGGTTGAAGCTCTCAAATACCATCCGAAAGTCATAGAATGCTTGCGACCAGTCTAACTAGGATGAAATCGGGTGATGTTTAATACTAACTACCATGCTCAACTACCATTAATATTAGCAAAACGAGCCATAAAAAACTTAGGCTTCTGTACCTAAAGTTGCTACAAAGTAACTCTTCATGTTAATAATGTGCAATGCCGTTCTATCGTACTGGAGAATGTTTTGAGATAAAAAAGGATAAATTGTTAAAATTTTGTATTTCAGAAGTGACCTAACACCCTTGTCGGTTGCAAGTCTGCAAAAATTTGTTTCTTGCTCCTAAAGTAATTGCCGCAAGTTCAAAGTTAAACAGGCTGAAAATAAACATATTGATAAACTCTTGTCACTTCCGACAAGTGTGATGTGCTCTATTTTGTTCTTCTCTGGCAATTTTGAAAATATTATGGCTTATTAGAATAAGATGAAATTTACAAGGTAGAATAAGAATTTAAAAAATACTCCAATGCAGACAAATTGCGTTACACCGGTCTATTATGTTTTCCTCTTTTTGCGCCTTTTGCAGCTGTTAACTTACCTTCGAGAATGAATATTTAATATGAAGAAATTCATACTAAGTTTTCTTTGTGCAAGGGATGACATAAGCCTGTTAGCATAACAACATGTTTAAGAACAATTATATAACTGAACGAGGTATTTGTCTTCTTTTACCTTGAATTTACAATTATTTATTTATAGCGATGCGGTTCAAGTTTTCTCTCCAACCGATCATTAATATTCTCTATATCTTCCTTGGAATTATTCTCCCACCATGCTCCTGTTGCACAGGTGAGTATAAATCCCTTTTTAAATTTCTTGTGTTTTATCTTTCTGGCGTCGTTTCCTCAAAACCGTTACACGAACTACATATGCTACCTGCTGATCAAAGCGAATAATCTTTAAGCAGACAATTTTTACCTAACTCAAAATGTCTTCTATTATAAGGTAGAAGATACAAAAAAAGTCAAATTTCAAAAAGACCCCACCAACTGCGCATCAATGTTACAAAATGACGAATTAAAACAAACGATTCACAGATATCGTGGTGTGGTAATGAAAGCTGTGAAAATATTCTTGATACTAATTCTTTTTAATATTTCCTTTCCGCTCGTTAATTCACAATCAAAGATTAATTTTTGTCAATGAAAGCCTCCCTGTTAAGTTGAATTTTCAAGAGGTGAGAATCACCTTTCGGGAAAAATTTGTCAGGGTTCTCGTGCAGTAAAGTTTTGAAATAAAAAGATTTCGTGTGTCTTTTTCATCAATGAAAATAAAAAATTACCTCGAGTGAGTGGAAACTAAACGATATATTTGTTTGCCTACCACAGACGACAACTATCGAAACATCATATTCAAGGACCCAATACCAAACATGGCCATGAAAAATCACGCCATCAAAAGTGTAGAGGTGCCCAACGAAGGAAGTTGCAGAGTAATGTGTTATATGGAGCCTAATTGTGTGTCCATCAATATTGGACCTGTTGTAGGAGGAAACCAAAAATGCGAGTTGAATAACGCCACAGAGGAAAACCATGCTCCATTTCTTCTTGTAAAAAATTCGGGTTATACATATCTTGCAATTGAGGTAACATTTCATATTCTTACGAAACTACGGTGCCAGAAGAGATTGTTTCATTTTCTTAGGCTAAAGTGATCTTATTCTTGAAATAAAGAAAATCTGCACTATAGTTTACTTTGTTTTGTCAACAGAATTCATGCAGCAGCAGCCCATGCTTAAACAATGCCATCTGTCAAGCAGGGTTTACCTATAAAGGATTTCGTTGTGTCTGTCAGGAAAAATTCACTGGAGAAACCTGCCAAGTTGAAGGTAAAATGGCAGGATTGTGTAGACCAGTCTCTCGTGTAGTGCGCGAGGAGTTACTCACTAAAGTTTCAAAATTGACTTCAAGAACAAAATATCAACCACTGAATGAAAGCTAAAAAGGAAAAGCCAC